GTAGAGAGACCCTCTTTCTCCTTTTCTCAGTCTTCTGATCCCAGTGTTTGGCAAGCAAAGGATCCCAGGAGGAAGAGCTGGTGGTTGAGCTTCCGTGAGTCTTTGACTCGAATGGGAAGGAGTTTTCTTAGGGGATGAGCAGGTCAGGAGGACGTGGGTCCCCCACCCTTTCACTGTCCCCGCCCCACAAGGTGTGAATCAGAGGCTCCCTTCCCCTCGGGAAGTTCTTTTTCTCCCTTAGACTCTTCACTGCCTGAGGACGGTCCGGTTTTTACTGCTGCAGCGGCTGCTACTCCTGTTCCATCTGCTCTCCCAACCAGGTATCTTGTCTCTTCTGACTGCCTGAGGGGGGAGGAATGGGTCCTGGCTCCTGGCCCCCAGCCCTTGGACCCGGGCTGGTCAGGCATGAGGAAGTCTGAGAGTAAACAGAGGCTGGAGTAGTTGGGGACCAGAGTTTGAAGAATTTGCACCAGCTGGTAAGCTCTTGGGACAAGCGGTAATCAGTGATTTTAAATGGCCATGTGGATGATGTTTGACCCATGTTAAGGGTCTTGCAGGCCCCATTTTCTTCTGAGTTGGCCCCATGATGGTCCTGTGTTTGAGTCCCATCCGGTGCTTCCAGGGTCTGGATATGCAGCCCCTCTCCCACTGTCCTGGCGAGGTGATGATCGCATGTTCCAGAAAATTGAAATGGGCCTGGGACCTGGAGGAGACCTCACTTGCAGGGGAGGGGCAAGGAAGGAGGCTGGAAGTTTGGAGTGGGGGAAACCAAAACGAGGCTTAGGACTCCTGGGCTGCAGCAGAAAAAACTAGCCCCCTCAGCTTTGGCCCTGGACCCTTTTTCCTTCAGGAGCCCCCCCATGGAGGTGCAGCCCCCTGTCTCCCCTCAGCAGTCTGAGTGCAACCCTGTTGGTGCTCTGCAGGTGTGCCCCCTCCTCATTTCCTGTGCATGCCTGTCCTCCCTTGAACCAGGGGCCATGAGGGAAGGTTATGGGGGGTGTTTGCTCTTCCTGAGGGCTTTTTTTCACCCCATTTATTCCTCCTCTAGTCTGGAATCTGAGGCTGGGATCTAGGTTAGGAGGGAAAGGATGTTTGGACTCTTCTCACTCAGCCTGTCCACCCATATTTCTCCCTTCCAAGGAGCTGGTGGTGCAGAAGGGCTGGCGGTTGCCTGAGTACACGGTGACTCAGGAGTCTGGGCCAGCCCACCGCAAAGAGTTCACCATGACCTGCAGAGTGGAGCGCTTCGTTGAGATTGGTAACTGGGCAGAAGGGCGTTCTTGCAGCTACTGTCCCCCAACACTCCAGTCCTGGCCACAGGCAGCGCCTAGCTTCTCTCTGCTACAGCCCCGCGCTTTTGGCTGAGACCCCCAGCTTGGCTCCTTCCCCTTAGCTTCTTCCTTGCGCCCTGTCTTCCCCCCTCTCTGGCCAACCAGATTCGCAGGTGCCAGGCAGGTCCTGAGCTCCCCTTTCTAATCGGTATCTCTTTAGGGGACCCTCAACCCAGATTTGCGCCTGGTGGAAAGCACTGAGTCTGTTGGGAGTTATAATCCGTAACCCTCTCCCCCACGCAGGCAGTGGCACTTCCAAAAAGCTGGCAAAGCGGAATGCGGCCGCCAAAATGCTGCTTCGCGTGCACACGGTGCCTCTGGATGCCCGGGATGGGAATGAGGCAGAACCTGACGATGATCACTTCTCCATTGTGAGTGGCTTGTGGGCCGTCCCCCCTGCCAGGCCAGGGCACTGGGGACTCAGTTCTGTGACTCGGGAGTGAGCCTTTCTGGGTCCCAGGCCTGCTTCTGTCCATTTTCCTATCGGAGCCAGGATTCTTGGGGTTCCCGTTCAGCTTCAGCTGTAGGCCCACCTGGTGAGTGCCTTGGGGGAGCTGGTGCAGGCCAGGGCCTGTAGGCTTTTGTTCCTGCGATGAGGAAGGCAGCTTGGCCATCCAGTCCAGGGTCTGATAGGGATAGGGGGTCAAACGGGAATTGACTGAGGGGAGGCAGGCTGGAGGTACCATTCTTTGGGCTATTCTCTCCTGGGACATTAAATGTCTCTTAAATGCCAGGGCCTCCCAGCCCAGTGCCGCATCTTTCTCACTGTTTTCATCTCATCAGGGTGTGGGCTCCCGCCTGGATGGACTTCGGAACCGGGGCCCAGGCTGCACCTGGGATTCTCTGCGCAATTCGGTGGGAGAGAAGATCCTGTCCCTCCGCAGCTGCTCCCTGGGCTCCTTAGGTGCCCTGGGCCCTGCCTGCTGCAGTGTCCTCAGCGAGCTGTCTGAGGAGCAGGCCTTCCATGTCAGCTACCTGGATATTGGTATGGCTAGTTGGGGGGCCGGGGGATGGTGGGGACTGGACCAGAGCAAGTACACATGGGTATAAGGAGTGGGGGGAGGGCATGATGGTGGCACGGATCACAGCCCCCCACCCCCGGTGCTGCCTCGCCACCCAACACTGCCTCCTCCTCTCTCTTGGTCTCCAGAGGAGTTGAGCCTGAGTGGGCTCTGCCAGTGCCTGGTGGAGCTGTCCACACAGCCGATCACCGTGTGTCATGGCTCTGCAGCCACCAGGGAGGCAGCTCGTGGTGAGGCTGCTCGCCGTGCCCTGCAGTACCTCAAGATCATGGCGGGCAGCAAGTAAAGCTCCAGCTGGACTCATGGACATACAACCTCGCTCCCTGCTCTTCCTGCTCTCGGCCCAGGCATCTGCCCAGCTCGGGTACCCTCTGGAGGTGCCATCTCTACCTCTGACACAGACTGCCTCCCCGCAGGCCGAGGAGGGCATGGGCCCAGGAGCCAGGGACCACAGTGCCTCAGTGGCCCAGGATCCGTCCTCATGTTACTGGTGGTGATGGAGGGGAATGACATCGGACTGTCCCCTAGAGCCCAGAATAAATGTGCTGCTCCTCGGAACCGTACACCCTGATCTTCCTGTTTCCCTGAGTAGTTGATGGCAGTTTCGTGCTAGATCACCTCCCCTTTGCCTCCCCACCTTGTTCCGCACATGTCCCCGTGCTTGCTTTTCTGGTGGCGGGAGGCTGGGTGCAGAGACTTCTGGGAACCCCATCACCTGTGTTTCTGGAGAGTTTGGTGGAGATGGAGGGACTGTGGTTCTTGCCATGGGCTCCCGCCCAGCCCCATCAAGTCTTAGACACAGACACCTGATTCAGAAGCCAGGCAGCTTTATTTTGGGGGAAGGGAGATACATGGCACTTTGGGTGTGGGCCTTGCATGCAGATGGATCAAGAGATGACATGTCACTTCTTCCCAAAGCGCTGAGGGGCAGCCAGACTCCAGAACGGGGCGCTCAGCCCCTCCCCAGCTCGGGTACTCAGCCGGTCGTTGCTCCCGGAGCCCTGGGTATTTCTGCCAAACCTTAGGAGAGATCCATCTTCAGCTGTAGGTCCTTCCAGTCCCTTCTCTAGCCCCCTCCCTCGACCCTCCCCTGGCCCCTGCCTTGCCTGTGTCCCTCTCAGACTCACCTTTGGGGCTGAAACGGGAAGGCTGGGCTCCGGCCGGGTCTCTGCATGGCCTGGAGCAGGGAGAGTAAGAGTGACGCAGGGGCCTCGGCATCCTGTGGCGTGCGGGGTCCGGTGTCTTCCTCCTGTGGTACAGGGACATCCAGCAGGGAATATGGGCAAAGACTTTGGACATTCAGGTCAGTAGGGGAAGGATGTGGCTTCCAGTGACAAGTTGTAGGAAGCTGAGTAGCCATTTCTTCAAATGTAGACCCTGGCCACAAGTGTTTGAACCTAGAGCACAAGTCCCATGCTGAGGTAGAGAGAGAGAGTGATGTGGGGAGGGGTGCTAACTTACCAGGAAGATGTGATCTCCACCCTGGCCCCCTGGTCCTTCAGCGTGGCCCCAGTCTGTTATGAAAAGCAGCACCAGCAGTAGCACTGCTGCCTGCCTGGAATCCATGCTGTCATCTGCCTTCCTCCGGCCACATCTGCCTCTTATACCTGCTGTCCCCCTGCCCGCCACCCCCACCGCAGCTGGAGGGGGAATCTAGAGCAGGCAATGGAAATGCACGGCTCCATTAAGAGCCCCTGAGATCCCCTCCCATGGCCCCTCCGGGACTTCCTGCTCTCAGCCTCCGGCCCTAGCCCCTAAGCCTGGAATTACAGACTTTATTAGATGCATAAATCCTGTCTCCAGAGCTTGAGAAGCATCATTAATTGCAGATGCTTTGTCAGCGCCAGGCCCTGGGGGGCCTTTAAGAACCCCCAATCCCTCAACAGGTTGGAGAGCTCCAATTGATCACCTCCTCCTCTCTTTTCTAACTTGTAGAATAAGAGCATAAAGAAAGCCCTGTCAGGAAGGGCTAGGTATTGTGTCCTGGAACAGAGGGAGTGGGGGGCAGAGTTAGGGTCAGAGTTGGCCGGGATGACCCAGCCAGGGTCCCTCCCCTAATGGCTGCAGCCAGGGTCACCCAGCCCATCCACACCCCTGCGTATGTGCCTTTCAGAGCCACTACTCTGAGATTTGCCTGTGGATAGGAAAATGAGATGCAGAAGGGAACAAAAAGGAAGTGGGGAGCTCACAGACTGGGGATTGCTTCAAATCTTTGTAGACGGACCCCCTCCTCACTAGAGGGCAACTGCTTGCTTAGGACCTGCCTCACCTGGGGCTCGGGAGCCATCCCTGCAGCTGAGGCACTGCTGCCACCCTGTGGCCACAGCTCCACATTGTCAGGCCCAGCCATTTCCTTCTCTGGACTAGAGCTCTTTGAAGGACCAGGTGGATGGAGGTGCCTAGGGCCCTGATTCTACGGAGTTCCAGACAGGCAGGGACAGAATCCAGGGGCTGGACTATGATTTTGTCCACTTCACTCTAGTCACCCCGCCTCCGCCTGGCACTGACCTACTGGGGCGCGAGACTAGAATCCAGCCTTGGGAAATACCTGCTTCTCAGGAAGGGGTCCTTCAAGTCACCTGGTGCCCTTTCCCTTCCGATCCTAGGATCCCTCCCCCCACACCCTCCAATAGTTCTGTACCAGCCTGGAGTGGTGCCATGATGTAAAGAGCCTGTGCCCAGCCTGGCAAGCTGTCTACCTCTAACCTGCAGTTTCTTCACCCAGAACATGGCGACATGAGAAACTGCTTCCTAGGACGAGCATTATCTGAGCTACTTTTGGTCATCCATCCAGTAGAGGATCTGACAGAGCAAGCGTCCTCAGAACGTTAGCTGTGAGGAGCTGACACACCCGAGCCCCGGGAACTTACCATCTCCTGAGTCTTCGCAGATGTATCCTTGCACTGAGCTGGTTTCCGTCTCCTTGTGGCCTCCACCAGAGGGTCTTAGTTTTGCCTCTTAAGTCTCACAGATCATCTCTCCATTCTTTCATGTATGCAAGCCTTTCACAGGTTTGAAGACATTTCATTCTTCTACTCTATAGTCTTTTTTTGTTCAAGGGGAGGCGTCTCTCTTTAAAGTAAGGCATTTGTAAACCAACATGTACTTAGGGCAGGTAGATTAGATCAGGCTTTGACCTGGATGCTCTAGATACTACATTTCTATGAGAGCAGCCTAAGCGAGGGGAGCCTCTCTGAGCTTGTCTCACGCTGGTCCCAAGCACAGAACCTGGCATTCACCACTGCATCTTGCAGTTTCACCACTTCTTAAAGGGGAGAATTAAGACCATAGGTAGATGGTTCTTCTGTGGGAAATGGATCTGGCCCCACAGAAGTCCAGAGGAGCAGAGTGGGGGGAGCACTGCAAAGAGCAGCTCTGGGGTCCGACAGAATTCAATTTTAATCCCAGCTCTTGGCACTTCACTGTGTGCCTTGGGGAAGTGTCTTAACCTTAACCTCACTTCATCATCAATAAAATGAGGCAACTACTCCTATTATCAAGAGATTGCTGTGAACAGTAAGTGATGCAAAGCATCTAGCTCTCCATTTAGCACAGAGCAGGCACTCAATGTTTACCACCCTGCTGCTTCCCCTCTATTTCTCTGATCACCAAGCACACCACTATCTGAGCTGAGGCTATGAGAAGAAATGAGCTGATCTAGCTGGCTTCCTATGTCAGGACGTAGCTGACTGGTCTCCTGCGGTTAGTAGTTGGAATGGGTTGATTCTGCTCTCATGGGAAACTGCCCTGCCTTCAGACTCTCATCCCAACCCTCCCAAACCTCTTCATCTTGGCTTCAGGATCTGGCTTTCGGCAACTTCCTTTCTGACCCTTCTCTGGCCCTCCATGTGTTCCTGACCACAACACAATGAAGACCACGACTGCCTTTCCTACTTCTAAGTTAGGAGACTCAGTCTCCCTATTTGTGTCAATTAATCCCGACATCAGCCAGTTTCTTAGATAATTTCTCTCCTATTGGGAAACCCAGAGACACCTGCCATCTCCTGGTCAAGTTCTTCAGCCTGGCTCCCTCTCCGCGCTTGTGATAGTGAAGGAATACACCGATCCAATAAGTAGTGACTGCCCTACACCTCCATACTCCATATGGTTCCTAGGCATTACCTCTTGTTCTTCCTTATCTTTTTCTTAATATGTTTTTACTGATTTTAGAGAGAGAGAGGAGAGAAACAGAGAGAGAGAAAACATTGATCGGCTGCCTCCTGCACCCCCCTCACTGGGGATCAAGCCCACGCCCGCAACCCGGACATGTGCCCTGACCAGGAATCGAACCGGCGACCTCTTGGTGCATGAGACGATACTCAACCAACTGAGCCACACTGGCCAGTGCTACCTGTTTTTCTTGAGAACTCTCTTACCTGCTCTCTAACCAATGCCGGCCCCCCCAATGCCCATAGAATTTATACAATCATAGAAAGGTTCTCTTTTGGTCTCTGCATTCCCCCGTCATGTTGGAAACTTCTTGAAGATAGGGCTTATTTTTGTTGTTTTAAAAAAATTGTTGGGAGGGGGTGGGTACAAAACACTGAAAGGTGAGAGGACACTTGCTTTTCAAACACCATCTCATCCCCCATCCACATAAAGCACAACCTCCTCTAGTGAGTGCTCCCATGATGCTCTGGGCCCTTGCCCCCAGGGCAGTGCACAGATCTGAGCCCTGCCTTCGGTGTGTTATGTATTTATATAAGCCACCACCTTCTCTAGACTGTGTTTTCACTGCATAAAAAAGGGAAGGGAAACATCCCGGCTCCTTCTTGTTTTAAGAAATGGGAAAAGTGAGAAAGAATCAGACGTGAAACCCCCAATGAGTCCCCAAGGAAGGACAGTGGGAACTTGTAAATCAGAGGATCGAAACACCAAACATACAGTGCTCCTCCTCGAGAAGTTTATATTTTATTTTTGCAGGATAAATAAAGG